ATAGTAATCAGATGATGCTGAAATTTTCATTTTCAAACCTTTAGGCTCTTAATGAAACACAAGTGTTTCTATATTAACGCTGCAAAAAATGTCTGAGCACCACCGTATCAATAGAAATGTAAAAGCTGCTGTCAGTGGCTCATTATGGTCACCTTGGTAACCACCAGTTGCTAGTTTAGTCACCATGATAATCTGACCCTATGGTTCAAGTTATTGTTTAATAATTTATTTTTGAAAATAAAATAAAATGCATGAATATAAAACTCAAACAGGTTACTTGTTTGTATGTAAACATGCAGCCTAAGAAATATATATTATGTATGAAAGATACAAAACCTTTGAAAGGGAGACAGATGAAGTATGTCCTTCCCATTTACACAACGTAAGTAACTCATGTCTTAATCATGAAACTGGGCTACACAACAGCAGCCATGATATAAATACACATGTACTCATATTTATACCGAGACAAACTATCTGTATCCGATAATTCAGTCGGTGATTTTGACTTCAGTGTCAGGAAAAACAAGTTTTATGTAGGAGATTTGGTGAGTTGAAAAGATCCTTCATGTCTGCTTATAGGAGAAAAGAATGACGCTTGTATGGGAGGTTTGTGCAACACAAACTCAATTAGAAGTTGGATGGAGTCGTTTATTTGCTTAGTTTGAAACGTTTAAACAGCTGAGAAAAATTATTTTACAGTAGCTTCAATCAAGGAGAACATTTAGTACAATCTCCAAAAATCCCAAAACATCAAAGTTATGAAAACTAGTTATTCCCGCTAGCCCTGACCTCTTTAAAGCGTAAGTCACCCCAAAATCAGCATTTTTTTCTGATAAACTATATAAATGTGTCTAATTGTGCTGCAGACATGTGTAGTCAATAGTTTGGCACTTTAGTGCATTTTAGTTAAAATTTTAATTTTCTGCCTAAAACTGTCAGTGTTGTGCCGTTGTCAGGTAAAAACTCTGCACTGCATTTGAATTTAAATCTGCCATCACTATTGGCTAAGAGGTAACCTAGAACGTTAGCTGGTACCATATGATGTCACAATGTCGTTGTGAACCTGTGTGTGTGTGTGTGTGTGTGTGTGTGTGTGTGTGTGTGTGTGTGTGTGTGTGTGTGTGTGTGTGTGTGTGTGTGTGTGTGTGTGTGTGTGTGTGTGTGTGTGTTGTTAGCGGCTCCGCCCTCTCGGTCTGCTAGGCAACAGCATTTGTTGCATTTTTCAAACAGGAAGTCGGAGTTGAGTAAGAATCCGGTAGGGGGTGACTTGCTCTTTAAAATACATATAAAGGACCGGCTTTCTCACTCGTTACGTGTGTGTGTGTGTGTGTGTGTGCGTGCGTGCGTGCGTGCGTGTGTGTGTGTGTGTGTGTGTCAGCAATAGAATCAGACAGACTTTCCAGAAACAGACAAACAGAGCAGAACTGTCAGAGGCAGCAGATAATTACAAGCACACAAAGACACACACTGGAATGCTCACACTCACTTTGGCAGAAGCACAGTTCATTTGCATAATCTTCCTCTAATGTCTTACGCTGGTCTGGCTGTCCGCTCTCTCGGTGTGATGAGTTACCCAAACCATCCGACACCAGGACCCGTGCTACAGCTCTAATTGCCCCATTATGAGGTTGTTCTGCCCGAGGCGACTTTGTCCTTAAATTAAAACATTTCTGCAGAACTATTGTGTTAACAGACACATCAGAGCAGAGTTTAGTTTGAGAAAGTTGTTCAGAATGAGCTGAAGCTTGCTGTTTCAGCTTTAATTTTTCATTTAGCTGTTTTTAAACCACAATAAGGATTAAATCATGGATTTAAGTTAATATTTTAATTAACTGCACCTCAAGTTGTTGAAGTAATGTTCCTTTTTTAGATCACATTAAATATGCATTTATGTTCAACTTAAAACGAAGCATACAAATGCACCGATGATGGTTTTAAATGGCCAATACAGATTTCTGATTTCTGAGCAGCTCTGAGAGGCTGACACAGATTTTGGGTCAACTTATTTGTTTAAAGACCAAGTCACCCCCTACCAGAATCTAGCCCCTCCTCCTTGTGTAAGCGGCGTGTAACGTAATAGCGTCCTTTTACCCATGAGCTCCCTTCCAAGCGGGAGCGCTACAGATGCTAAATGGGAGCGAAGGTAACTTAACGGTTCCAGTTCACAGTGAAGTCAGACAAAATGTGGAGCCAGCCGACAGAAAGATATGCTGATAAACAAGAAACTGCCACCAGACTGCAAAACGTCGAGGATTCTAGTTCTGCAGCACCAGAGCTACAGGTGTTATGCAGGGAAAAGTTACCCTGCCGCCAAAGCTCCCCCATCACGGGAAGGCGCATTGCTCAACACAGTTGCATATTGAGGGAGTAAGCAACTTTAAATAAGAGCAATGCGGCAGCTTTTAAATATATTCACATTATAAACTAGGGCTGGGCGGATCGATCTAAAATATCGATAGTATCGATCTAACGTTGGTATTGAGTATTGACTAGATACGTGCGTGATGGTATCGATTCCGTTTCTTCTAGCCTGGCAAGCCATGACGTAATCACCGCTACAGATGTCGGTCAACGAGGCAGTCCACCAAACTCCGTCAAAGAAGATGCAAAACACATCCTTTTCCTAAATAAACGTTAGTACTTCTATCTGATCTTGACTCAAACAAAAGCTTAAGTCATAATAGTCCAAACTTGATGCCAAAGCCGTTTCAAACGAGCGGCTGACCGCCAACTAGTCACGTTTGTATTTTTTTTCCCCCAATAACATCCCGCCTACTTTGGTGTTGCGATTGGCCCATGAAATCTATATAGCACCATGATTGGACCACAACAGAACGGCAGCCATCTTGATTTGTAGTTTACCTGGCTGATACCTGTGACTGGACCGTTTTGAGCGGCAGCCATGTTTGTTTGCACGGACATCCTGCCTACCTCGCTAAAAGAGCGCTGTGATTGGCCCAAAAAATTATTAAAGCACTGTGATTGGAACGTCACGGATGTCAGTCAACGGGGCAGTCTGCCGTTACATAAAAAAAAAGTAAAACAGCGCACCAGCACGAGACAAGTACAGAACAGCAGAGAGCACTGTTGTGGCTGCGTGATGGCAGACCAAAAAAGGAGCGCCGTTTGGAATTTTTTTACACAGCTTTGTAGATTTCAAATAGAAAAAATCTTGAGCTTGTTAACCATTTTAAACCATTTTGAGTTTCCTAATGAAAACTTTATTTGCCTGAAAATGTTCCCTGTATTTTATACTCATCGTACACATGATTTATTAAAGGAAATATTACAAAATATTTAAGTAATCAATAAAACTTGAGTTTTCAGACAAGATTCTCATATTGATGATGAGTACATCATCAGTATGAGAATCTTGTCTGAAAACTCAAGTTTTATTGATCCTATTTATCTTAATAAATCCCACAAAACTAGATGTTCTAGACTAGTAGTAAAAAGTAGCGGTATTGGTATCGGTATCGGCATTACCAGCACCTGTATTTACTTGGTATCGGATCGATACCAAATTTTGCAGTATCGTACAGCACTAGTATAAACACATTCATCTGTGTACTTCCTGAATAAGCAAAAGAGAAACTTAAAAGACAACTTGGATTTGTTTTCTTCTTATTTTAAGGCTTTCCTGAAGAGTATCGGAATGGGACTTGGTATCAGCAGATTCTCAAACTCAAATGACTCGGAATCGGATCGGGAGAAAAAATCGTGATCAGAACATCTCTAGTCTGTTTATTTTCTGTTCTGTTTACATCATTTAAGGGTGTATCATAGGAAACAACGTACGTTTATCTGCACGTGACTTTTATTTTGAAAATTTCCCAATGTTTTACTCTGCTTTTGTGTTTGACTTCCTGTCTGGCTCCATCTAAAATGCAGAGTTTGACGTGTTTTGGAAATGTAGCGTGTAAAAAATAGACTCGAAAAGGAACCCGTCTACTATAATGGTGGCTAATTGCAGCGAGGTACGTTTTGCGGTCGTTTTGTGACGCTGTGATGTCCGATGGACAGGAGGGGTTATTCCACCTACACTTCCTGTTTATAAAATGCACTAAAAGGAGGCAAACCCCCACCCTTGAGGATTTCCCCCCAGATAGCGGACGGTCGTGCAGCCATGTCAAACAGTACCAGCTAACGTCACATAGGACTTCTTAGCCAATAGCAATGGCTGATTTAGATCCAACGTAGTGTAGGCTTTTAGCCTGAAGAGGGTGCTACAGTGTTGGTTTTAGGGATAATGTTTATATTTTAAATAAGATGCTCAAAAATGCCAAATGAATGGCACAGCACTATAAGACACTCATGATTTATCAGCAAAAACAGATCATTTGGGGGTGACTTGCTCTTTAATTTTTTTCCCCAGATATTTTGTTTCTGGTATGGAATGGTGCGTTCACGGGCCTGCAATGAAAATCCAATTTTTGAGTTTCAGATGTAGAATTCAGCCCAGTTTATGTTGGTTAAAGAGCAAGCCACCCCCTACAAGAAACTTACTCATCAGTCCTGTTTGATATAAACTTTATTTCTAACTTAACTTTTACTCAGAAACCAACTTCTAAATCACCCAATAATCCCTTTAAAGCGCTAAAAGTGTGAAGTGAATCTAGATCCTTTTAAACTGTTAATCTGTGGCTTTTTAAAAATCTTTTTCCACCTTTTTATTGTTTCCTTCCATGTTTTATCTTTCTAGCTGTTTTTTTTTCATTGTCTTTTTGAATGTGGTGCAGAACGGAGCACGTTCAGTCTGCAGGTTATTGTTTATCATCTCTTTTACCTTCTCTTCTTCCTCTGACATGTTTCCTCTATTTACACGCTCTGCAGGATATTGTTTATCTCTTCAGTTTGTTTGTTTGTCTCCCACCAACAACTGTTTTCTTCCTCTTCTATCGTTTTAATGCAAATTCTGGCTCAGAGTAAAGTTTCTGTTGAGCTTTTTACCCCACACTCATCTGAAATCAGTCATATTTTCTATCATTTTCTTTCAGGATATTCTACGTTTCTCACGACTCGCAGGATCTAAAGATCTTCAGCTACATCGCCAGAGATGGACAGAGTAACGTCTTCCGATGTAACGTCTTCAAGTCTAAGAAGAAGGTGAGCTTTTTGTTTGGGGCTTTTATGCTCATATTAACAGAATCTTACACGAGTCTGACTTTTCTGTTTCTATATGGAGTAAAACGTGTTCACAGTCGTCGTGAGATTCGTTTCATTTCATAATAATCAGAGCAAGTTGCTCTACTTCCTGCTGAGAATGAGATCTAAAGCTCTTGGGGTTTGTTGCTGCAGAAATGACCAGACAGGAAGTCAAAACATGAGTGTGTGATGTCACTGCTAACATGGTCTCAGCCTTCACTTCTGCTCCCAATTCTGAAGAATATATGTTAAAAACTGGGAGTTCACTGGGTGAAACATGCACTGCCTCATTATCTCACACACACTTCCTGTTTGATGTTCACCGTGGTTGCAAGAGGCCAAGCCCCAAGCCATGCTTTGACTGAGGATTACGAAATTTGGTACACTAATGTGGGTTCTCAGGACCTACAAAAAAGTCTCCTGGAGCCAAGAGCAAAGTCTCACAGGAGGTCGGCCATTTTGGTCTAAGTACTCGATTTAGTGGTTTTCGCACACGTCGTATGGAGAATGATGCCCCGTCACCCTTTTCACCAATCGCCTTCAGACTTCTGCTATATACTCTTAAGGCATTGGGGAAAAAATTCAACTGTTGGATTTTTCAAGTAAAAAAATGTGGGCGTGGCTAAGCCTCAAACTTTGACCTCTTGCCATGCCACTCTTTATTTTCACAGCTCCCTATTGGACTCCTTTCACCTAATCACCAGCAATCTCTGGCAAATAGCAGTATAGAGGTTGGGGTCACTTGGTGTCAAGTAATGACAGGTTTCAAAAAAAGGCGGGGCTTTGGGAGCATTGCGAAAATCGCGCCATGTAAGTAAGTTTGCCTCTCATTTCCTCATTTATCATGATATTGCCAAGAAACTTCTGGTGAGTGATCCTAGTCTGACCCCCAATAGAAATGGATGTGATAGGTTGGTGGGCGTGGCCTATTTTCTGAAATAGCGCCCCCTAGGACCATTAAAACTGTCAGCCTCAAGCCGAGCTTTGACAGAGGATTACGAAATTTAATACACTAATGCAGTGTCTCAGAACACACACACACACACACACTGAAGAGAAAACTAAATGGGCAATCAGGGCCACCAGACCATTAAGCTGGAAACTTTTCTTCATGTATTTTGGAGATAACGGACATTTTTAAACTCATCCAGCTTATTTGTTTTTGTCTGGGAGAAAAGTTTACCCACTTATCGATTCAATTCAAAAGTGAAAATGAATTCAATTGCAACAAATCTTGACTTCAAAAATATGTTTCAATTGGTAATTCAATAATATTTAATCATAAAACCCATATTTTCTGCAGATTTTAACATTAGAAAAGTGATTTTTGCACTTAAAGATAACCATTTTTACTGATAGTTTTCTGATCCTAATGGGTCACTCATGCAGGCTGAACATGAATATAGTCTCCTACACATATCTCTTGCATTAGCTTCTGATAGAAAGCAGACGGTGAAACTCTAGGATTCGAAAATCCTGACAGATCTACGTCACCCTCTCACTTAACGTTCATGGACTCACCTACGTTGACTCACGACAGGGAAGGCTGTTGTTGGTTTAGCGTCCAGGAAACAGCAGAGAAATAGCCTGGCAAGCCAGACTAAATAAATGTATTATTTAGTATGACAACGCTCCATTGACGGCTCTCGGTTGTGGGGCGGGTTCTACCGTTGTCTTTCAAATGATCTCCGCATGCTACTGGACAATGAATGTGACATACTCACCGCAACAGCCATCGGTAAATGAGGCGGTCCGCAGTTGAAGAAGGAGAAAACACATAATTGTTTCTAAAAAAAAAAGCACTTAGATACATCTATCTGCCCCTGATTCAATTCAATTCAAAAATACTTTATTAATCCAAGAGGGAAATTGATTAAACTTGGGATTCTGATGAATCCCAAGTTCTAATTGTCCAACATGGATGTAAAAGCTGTTTCAAACGAGCTGTCGCTATCTTGTTTCACTCTGTTGCATCATCCCACCCACCAGGCAAATAGAATGCTCTGATTGGCCCACAGAGTGGATAAAGCTCTGTGATTTGTTCACTAAGCAGAGAGAGCACTATGATTGGCCCACCATTATGGACCAATCACAGCTCTTTTTGTGTTTGAAACCCCCTCTAGAGAGCTGTGATTGGCCAGCCAGAATGCTGTTAGGGGCTGCAGAGGTTCCAGTGGAGCGTTCCTAGACCAAACTTTGCAAAGCAAGAATTTGGTCTAGTTCACTAGGCTAGCAGAGAACGCCTCGGCTAGTAGAAGCTAACTGTAAGCATTAGCAACTCCACCACAAAGCAGAACTCCTCCAGGCTTGGGTTATTTGTGGAGATGAAACATCGGTGGTAGAGTCGTGTTGCTGTCATCCAATCTGGGGCGAGATGTCCAAATAACAGGAAATAAGAGGCGACATCCTGCCGTCTGAAGCTCAGCTGTGATGTGGCTCACTGCTAGCTCCTTTAAATGGTGCACCAGTTTACTTTTTTCTTCTTGACAATGACTTGCATTTTATATATATATATATATATAAATTATTCTCACACAGGAGACTTCAACCGCTTTAGGTGAAAAAGGATCCGTGCCGATGGTGTTTGTCGCTGGTTCTGCTTCTGCTGCTTGCACGTGTTCAGTTTGACTTTTGTCTTTGGCCTTGCAGGTCGTGCTATTGTCTTTTTGGTCTATTTTGGTGGTGTTGGAGACGTCTGTACGGGGTTAACCGGGATTAATAGTCAAACCGGTTAATCCCTGCAGCCCTAGTTGCGAGGCACTCATTCCTACCAGAGACCACTGCGAATAAACGAGCCTTTAAGATGCTTTAAGATGCAAAAAGCCTTGAAGAACATGAATCTGAAGATTTGGAAGTAAACTGGATCTGTTAACTTTGAAAAGGCACCAACAAGCAGTAAAAGAAATCTACATTCTGCACATTTCTACACTTAAAGCTAAATTTACCAAACATGTAGATTTTGTTCATTTAAAAGTCTTAGGTAGAAAGTCCTGAATGAGCAGAGCACTCTGATGTTTCATAGCACAGGAATCACAGAACAAACTCTGCTACCATGTGCACTGTGATGTACCACAAGCCCCGCCTCCTTCACCTGAAACACACCAGCTCAGCTCTGTGACTACCGCCTTTCTGAGCCCAGACGTAATAACGGTGAATCAGTCTCACCTCCGACGTTCCACACATCCCACTGTAACGTGATGGCAGGAAGAAGGTCTCGGGCTCGGCTGAGAAGGGAAATGGGCCTTTAAATATTGAGTGTGTGAGATCAATGAAAACTTATAAAATCTATTACCCACTCAGTTACCAGATGTGAATAAATGGGCCGGCTTTAAATCACAGCGCTTGTCACGCTCAGCCCCTTTACAAGCTGTGTGCACGTCTCTCTCTCTCCTTTTCTGGCTAATGCACTCTCGTTCGCCCCTCTTTGTCTCTCATCAACACTTTAATGGCAACTAATTAATGCCGTGGCCTCCATCATGCAGGAGGAAAGAGATGGAGACAGAGCAGGAAGAGTTCATCACGACACTGACAGGTGACCTGGTTGAAAGGTCACAGTGTGTGTGTGTGTTTGTGCGTGTGCATGTGTGTGTGAGTGTGTGTGTGTGTGTGAGTATGACTGTACTTTAGTGCATTTCTCCTGAAAAGCTAGTTTGAGCCAGAGGGTGAACTCTGCAGGAACACGAGGCCGTGGCAGAATCTCTGAGTCTAGACGATGACATTTCACACCAAACAGATGAAGGATGGGAACTTTTCAGGCTGGCATTTGAGAATTTATGTGGTCAGAGTTTGACGTGGAGGCTATGATTCTGGTTGATCTGGGTGGTCCCTGCAGGATTCTGGGGTGGTAGTGATGGTTTCAGCTAGCCTAGTGAACTAGACCAAACTCTAGTTGGTCAAGTTCACTAGGCTATCACTCAGTTAAACAGTATTCGCACTCTTCTGAGGGGGGAGTCTTTGTTGGGGCCTTGCAGGCTCAAGGACGCCAGATTCCGATTAGAAATTGTTTTGGGGCCAGACAGAGATCATTTCCTCTCTGTCTTACAGTTTGTTGGTCCTCATCCTCTCAGAATCCCAATTAATGGACGTTAATCTATCCCAATCCGTGCTGATTCGTCCACTCTCTCCTTGATGGCATCCATCTTTTGTGCCAATGAATGAATCTCCACCAAAGTCCCAAGCTTACGATTCATCTCTACACTTATGTGAGTCTGTGAATTCACAGGGATTAATAAAGGGGTTCCCCTTAGGTTTCTGTGTCCTTGTGGTCCCCAGTCCCCTCCAGGTTTCCTCTCAGGTTCCCTTCTAGTCACTCCCCGTAGTTTTCTATAGGTTCAGGTTTTCATTAGTCTCCTTTAGTGTGTGTGTGACTTCTCCTTCTCCACTTGTTTATTTCTCCCTCACTCCTCAGGTCTTTAGTTATTTATATTTTGGTTCCCCTGAGCCTCCTCCTCCTTTAGGTTTATTTATGTAGTCTCATAGGTTATGGCTAATTCCCCTCCTCTGCTTAGTTTTCCCTTCCCTTTTGGTTTATTGATTTCATCAGGCTCTCGTCTGGTTCTCTCTCCCCGCGCATCTGCTGCTCGTTTCCTAACCACCCAGCCCGTGTATGACACCCTGTCTCGTCTCTCGGTGTGTGTCGGTCCATTGTCGTTGTCGTTGTTGTTCTGTTCCTCCTCGTGAAACTCTACAGCTTTTTGTTTTGCCAGTCGGGTCACTGACTTTAGGCTTGGCTTCTTGGATTTTTGGACAGAGACTCCTAATAAAAGGATTTGACGTTTTACTACGCTCCTGCCTTGTGTCGTTCTGGGTTTCTGCATCTTGGGTCCCGACCTCCTCCAGGCTCAAACGTGACAGTGCCCGACTGCGCCTGACGAAAGTATTTTAATTTTATTTATGCATTTATGTCTGTACTGACTGAGCACTGTGCCTAATTGGTGTTAGACGGCAATTTTATTTAATTT